GGGGGGGGGGGGCTATCCAGTCAGCCCAGTTTCTGGCAGAGGATCCGACATTCCTGCATGGTGTTGGAGTCTCTGCAGTATTAAGGATAAATGGAATACCAGGTCCTCTAATTGGCTCCCTCTCAGCCAGCATAGGTAACTCCCTGAGGATCATGTATTTCAGCAAACTGTTATCCTGTAAAGTGCGGACTTAGGACCTCCTGAAGATGGCCAGCAGATTAGTCCCTGTCGCTTCCTCAGCTGTCCCGTTCCCTACTGTTAGAACCGAGATGTTGCTCCTTGATGACCGGCCAGCGTCCCGCGCAGTCTGAGCTATAAAGGAGGCGTGCATGCAGCACATTGACAATGCGGTTATCCTGTGACCGCATGTTCGTGGAATGTGACTGGAAAGCAAGTGGAAAGACCTCAGCGATCCTCAACAGGGTCCCAATGGCCGTGCTCTAGCACCGGAGTCCTAAACATCCACTCAGAATTTTTACATGCTGTAGATGCTGCACGAAATAGATGTTGCTGTTAGCGCGCAAACAACGGCTCCTTGCTCGTGACACAGCGGCCCGACTCCCGCACTGCAATAAAATACGACGGAGAAGAGACCAAGAAGAGAACTTCTGTGTGAGTTCTTAGTAAAGTCTGGGCTTCCATTTGTTGTCAGTCTGCTATCTAATGGTGTCACTCATACAATAAAGTCCAAGTCCAATAGTATAGCCTTAAGCAGGGCACCGATACTGCAAATCCCCTAGGAAAGTATTCTGTGCAAACTGTTATTGCTTAAAATATCGGAAATTAACGCCTTAAAATAATGTTCCTGATAATCTTGATTGTTCAGTGTTACATTGCAGTATTGTCAGTGATTCTATTGGAGTTGCCTTCAAAGAGCACAATGCTCAGATCATAGTTTCTATACTCTTCAATACGCTTTCATTAACCAACAAATGAATGAGTCTATTGATTCATTGGTTGGTTGATGAAATAAATAATCATACTGATTACCAATAAAGCAAAAATCGTTGTTAAAAAAACGCCAGACACTTCATTGTCCCAGGGTTGACAGCTCCCTCGCATCAGCCGTGACACTCACACTTTCAGGGTCACACAAGTCATCTTATGGTAAATCTATATTATTCCATTATAAACCTAAAAATGGCTACATAAGAAGTGGCGGGGGTGGCATGGTGGTGCAGTGGTTAGAACTGCTGCCTCACGGCAAGAAGGTCCTGGGGTCAGGTGTGGGTCCTTTCTGTGTGGAGCTCACATGCTCTCCCTGTGTTTGTATGGTTTCCACCGGGGGCTCTGGTTTCCTCCCACAGTCCAAAAGCATGCAGGGCAGGTTTATTGGCAAGTTTAAATTGGCCCTGTAATAGTGTGGCTGTGTGTGCGCCCTGCGGTATGTTGGTGATTGCCCAGGGTTGGTTCCATCCTGTTCCCGGGATAGGTTCCAGTCCCTCCCG